ACTCATATTTTTTATAGATTTTACAGAGTTCTTTACGTATTTGAGATATGAGACCTTTATCTGAGAAAATTTCTATAAAAACTTTCTCCCAATTTTCTGCTTTCCTTCTGATCTTGGCTACATTTGCTTTATTTGTGTAAAGCCTTTTCAATTTAATGGAATCAAAATTATCCATTCTATACCTCACTCTGTTTTGTCTCTTGTTGATAAATTCGTAAATTGTTCATCTATCCATAAGTCTTACAAGGAATATGCTCCGTGTTCTTCAAATTTTCTTGAAATATTTCACTTTATATCTAGGTCATATATCCATTTTGATCTTATCTTGGCAAGTGGTGTAAAATATTGGTATATGCCCAGTTTCTGGTATACTGCTTTTCAGTTTTCTCAACAATTTTTCCAAGTAATGAATTCTTATCTCAAAATCTTAAGTCTTTACACTTGTGAGATACAAAGCTACTATATCTATTTGTTGCTATGAATTGCATGTCTACTCTGTTCTATTGATAAACCTAGGCAGTACCAAATACTTTCGCTAATTAGTCCCTTATAATACAGTTTAAGATCTGGTACTGCTAAACCTCCTTCCTTTACATTTTTTTTCACTAGTTTCTTTGATATTCTTGACTTTTAATTGAATTTTGTTATTATTTTTTCCAATTTAGTAAAATAATTTTTTGATAGTTTAATTGGGATGGCATTGAAAATGTAAATTAGTTTAGGTAAAATTGTCATTTTATTATATTGGCCACACCTACCTATGAACAATTAATATTTCCCCAATTATTTAAATATGATTTTATTTGTATAAAAAGTTTTTTTTTTATAATTTTGTTTATATAGTTCTAGGGTTTGTTTTGGCAGGTATACTCCTAGATATTTTATCTAGTAATAGTAATTATAACTTTGAATATGAATGGAATGAACTCCCCCATAAAAAGGAAACAGCAGAATGAATTAAAAATAAAAATGTGATAGTAAGTTCTTTACAAGAAACACATTTAAGAATGAGAGATACACACAGGATTAAAATGAAGGGTTGAGCAGAATTTATTATGCTTTAGCTGATGCATAAAAGGCAACAGTAGCAATCATAATCTCAGACTAATTTACAACTAAAATAGATTTAGTTAGAAGTGATAAATAGGATAACTACATTTTGATAAAAGGTACCACAAACAATGAAGCAATATCAATATTGAACCTATAAGCACCAAATACTATAGCATCTAAAGTTTTAAAAGAAAAGTTAAATGAATTACAGGTAGAGATAGAAAATAGTTTAATAGTGGGGGACTTAAATATTCCTTTCTCAGAACTAGATAAATCTAACCTAAAAAAAGTCAAGAAAGTGAATAGAATTTTAGAAAAGCTAGATATGATAGATATCTGGAGAGAATGAAAATAGAAAGGAATACACCTTTTTCTCAGCAGTTCATGGGACCTTTACAAAGATTAACCATATATTAGGGTATAAAAATTTTATAATTAAAAGTAAAAAAGCAGAAGGAATAAAGTATGCCTTTCAGATCACAATTCAATAAAAATTACCTTTTATAAGGTACCACAGAAACATAATTAAAAACTAATTGGAGATTAAACAAGCTAATCTTAAATAAATGAGTGAGTCAAAGAACAGATCATAGAAACAATCAATAATTTTATTACAGAGAATGACAATAATGAGACAACATATATATATATATATATATAAAGTAAAAGTAGTGATCAGAGGAGAATGTATTCCCTAAATGCTTATATCACTAAAATGGAGAAAAAGCAGATTAATGAATTGGATATGCCATTAAAAAAAACTGAAAAAAGATCAAACTAAAAATCCCCAATTAAACACTAAAATTGAAAATCCTAAAACTTAAAAGTTAGATTAATAAAATTGAGTGTAAAAACCCATTGAATTAATAAATAAAACTAGTAATCAGTTTTATGGGAAAACACAGTAAAAGAGATAAATCATAAGTTATTTTAATTTTTATAAAAAAAGAGAGAAAACTAAATCACTATTACTAAAAAAGAAAAGTTGAATACACCACTAACAAAGATAAAATTAAAACAATTATAAGGAGTTATTTTGCACAATTATGTGCCAATAAATTTAACAATTTAAGTGAAATGGAAGAATATTTTTAAAAATATGATGTATAAATTAGCAGAAGAGGAAATAGAACATCTAAATAGGCCTATTTTAGAAAAAAAATATTGAACAGGCCATAAATGAGCTTTCTAAGAAGAAAGCACCAAGACCAGACAGATTTAAAGGTGAATTCTATCAAACATTGAAAGAGAAACTAATTCCAATATTAAATAAATTATTTTGAATAGTAGGCAAAGGAGGGATCCCACCAAACTGGTTTAATGAAACAAATATGATAATGATAACTAAACTAGGAAGAGTATAGGTAGAGAAAGAAAATTATGGACCAATGTTATTAATGAAAAATCCTAAATAAAATACTAACTAAAATATTACAACAATATATTACAAAGACTACATTATGACCAATTGAACAGGAATTCAATGAGGGTATATAATAAGGAAAACTATTAACACAATTGATTTTATCAATAATAAAAGATTTAAAATCATATTATTATATCAATAAATGCAGAAAAGGCTTTTCATCAAGTACAACACTCGTTTCTATTAAAAAACACTTGAAAGTAGAGGTTTAAATAGATTTTTCCTTAAATTAATAAAAAGCTTTTGTCAAAAGCCATTAGCAAGTATTATTTCCAATGGGGATATGCTAGAAGCCTTCCCAGTAAGATCAAGTGTGAAACAAGAATGCCCACTGGCACCATTATTCAATATTATATTAGAAATCCTAGCAATAGCAATGAAAGAAAAAGAAACAGAAGAACTCAGAATAGGAAATGAAGTAATTAAACTATCTCTTTTTGCAGATGATAGGATAATATACTTGGAAAATCCCAAACACTCAAAAAGTTAATTGAAACAATTAATAATTTTAGCAAACTGGCAGGATATAAATTATATCCACACAAATCATCAGCATTCCTATAGATCACAAGCAAAACCATGCAAGAAGAGATAGTAAGAGATGCCCCATTTAAAATAACTCTAGGCAAGATAAAATACCCAATCCTCATTTTATAAGAAAGGCAACTGAGGTTGGGGTCAGTTGGGATTTGCTTAACATGACACGACAGAAGCAGGACCTGAGTCTAAATCTTCTGACATCCAGTGGAGGATTGCCAGGATTCTGCTTCTCTGTGGCCTACAGGACTTCTCTGACTTCTGTCCTGTCCAGAGGGAAGAAGAGGCATGAAGTGAGGTCTGAAAGGCTTTTACGCCTGGGCAGGTTTCCTTCAGAGGCTCAACCAAGCACTTTCCAAAGTCTCCCTCCCTCCTCCACCAAGGGGACCCACATGGGCTGGTGATAAGGCCCTGGGCCTGAAGGAAAGCCACTGCTGGGGAAGGAAGAGCAGGACTGAAAGGTGTGGAGCAAAACCTCAGGCCAAGCCAGGCCAGGACCCAGAGCTTCTCATGGAGACACCACACACAGGGCACTTAGGAAGCCAGGACCTGGATGGAGGTTTCAGCTAGAAAGCTCTGCCAGGGTTCCAGGACCCCAGGACCAGCAGTGTCAATGAGATGAGTGCTTGATGCAGTCTGCATCCTGGAGCTCTGCCTTCCAATCCCAGCACTGACCAGTCCCCACTGCTGCCTCCCTCTGATGGGCAGACTTCTGAGGGTGCTGGTGTCCACACTAGGACCTGACATCCTGACCTGTGTGTGAGTGAGGTTGTCGGAACAGATGTCATCCACAGATGAAAGGGTCCGATCTCTTCTGATCCATACCCACCTAAGAAAATAGGAAAGTTAGAATGTGTCATTGAGGGCACAGCTGTTTCTCCCCTTCTGACAAAGGATAAGACCCCAGCTTTTTTGTGGGCTCTATACCAAAGAGCTTCAGGGAGATTCTCCCCAATGACACATACAACCAAAGGGAATTTTGTTATTGTTGATTGATTTCAGTCGTGTCTGACTCTTTGTGACCTCATCTAGGGTTTCCTTGGCAAAGATGTTGGATTGGTTTGTCATTTCCTTCTCCAGCTCATTTTACAGATGAGGAAATTGAGGCAAACAGGGTTAAGTGACTTGCCCAGGCTCACACAGCTAGGAAGTGTCTGAGGCAGAATTTGAACTTATGAAGATGAATGTTCCTGATTCCAAGGCTAGTGCTCTGTCCACTGCACCACCTAGTTGCCTTAAAGGGAATACAAAGATAGAACCAGACTTTTAGAACTAGAAAAGGCCCCAGAAACTATTAAAATCAATCCTATTATTTTACTGAAGAAACAGAGGCCCAGAGAGGTCTAGTGACTTGTCCAAAGTCACACAGCTAGTCAATAACAGAGCTTTCATTTGAACTCAAATCCTTTCCCTCAAGGCCCAGTAACCCAGGATGCCATCACTACAGTGTCACCCTGGAAGCTCCCCACATTTCTATAATCACGCTCCTGCTCTCCCACTGAGCTGCACTGCTCTGTCCCACACAGGTCTCCCACAGCTTTCTGGCCCAGGCTCCTTCTAAAACACTCAGCTGCACAGCTACAGAATGAGGGCAAGTCCAACACCAGCCCAGAAGCCTGATCTGTTTTATCTGTGGGCAGCCTCAGTGGGAGGGCAGAGGCTGGTGCCTCCATGGGGCCATTGACAGCAGCTGTTACCTTCTTGCCTCCACCCCAAACTTTCAGCCCCCAATCAGCTGCCCTGGCTCCCTGAATATACAAGGTAGTGAAGGGGGAGAATGTCTTGTCTCCATCTCACAGATGTGTCATAGTGTGGAAAGCAATTTCACCAAAGAGGGGCTAAAAGCAGAGCAGCCCCTGAGCAGCAATGCATTCAGAGCTCCATGGTCCTGGGCTGCCCTGACCCCTGCTCTGAAGGCCATATTAACTCCTCCACCCCAGTGTTCTCTGATTCTCTGCTGTTTTGTCCCTGGTTCTCTACACAGGCACATTTACAGTATCTGGCCCTCTGCTCCAGCCCATCCGGGCCTGGGTGGGGGACGATGTCCAGCTCTCCTGTCACCTCTCCCCTAAGATCGATGTTCGGGGTATGATTGTGAAGTGGGTCAGAGGCCCACTGGTTGTGCACTTGTACCGCATGGGCCAGGAGATGGAGGAAGTCCAGGCCCCTGCATTCCAAGGGAGGACAAAGATGCTGAGACAGGACATGGCTGAGGGGAAGGTGACCATGATCATCCATCAGGTCAAGCTCTCCGACACTGGCCAGTACGCTTGTTATTTCCAGGAAGGCTCCTTTTACAACGAAACCAGCTTTGACCTTCAGGTATCAGGTAGGTCCTACCTGGGGCATGGATTCTCTCTAGAGCTGGAAGGGACATTCAGACTATTGGCATTGGCCCAGATCTTTAAAGTGTGTAACTTTCCATACATTTTTTCCCTGAAGTCTCACAACTACCTTGTGGGTCAGTATTTCTGTCACAGGGACCACCCAGCCCAGCCCCCACCAACTGAAGGCCAGGTCCGTTATCTTTCAGCCCCTCAGGGTCCTCTGGTACCTTTAATGGGGTTGGGGGCATCCAGCCTCTCTGTCATTGGCTCAAACCCCCTCAATGATGCTTCCCCAATTTTAGAGGCTCTTCTGCACCCTTATTCTATGTAACCACTAAATAGTCGGAACTTGGAGGGACTCTACTATGTAGGAACTGGGTTAAGCTATGAACCTGAACTCCTTTTACCCCACAATCTGCAGAGACTGAGGTGGCCTGTGTGGAGAGGACAATGTCTTTGGGTGTCAGGGAAAGTGTCATTTGTACATTTGTTCTCATGACACTGTACAATTAAATATTACTGCATAAAAGCTATTCTGACTAATTGTATAGTGTACATGGTACCCATGGCCTGGGTATGGGTGGGGTGGGGGATCCCCAACCTGTGCCTAGAAGGAGCCCCTACCCACACCCTGAGCCTGTTTGTAGAGGGACACAGGGCCTGGATTGGGGAGGGAAAGAACATTCTTCCATACCCAGCTCAGTTCATGGTACTTGTGCCCTGTGGGTGAATAGGACACTCACATCCCCTGGACACAGCTGAAAGGAAAGAGAGGGAAAGAGTGGGAGAGAGACAGGAAGACAGAGACAGACAAAGACAGAAAGACTGAGACAGACAGAAATATAGAGACAGACAGAGAGAGGTTGACAGAGACAGACAGAAAGACAGAGACAAAGAATGAGTCCTAGTCTGGTACTTTTCAAGTCACAGCCTGTTTCAGCCAATAGAATGTAGCTAGTCCCACCCAAGTGGTAAGGAAACATAGAACGGCTTCTCGCTGACTCAGGCTACTGGAATCTCCCACATGGGTCCCTCCATGTCAGGTCAGCAGGTCAATCACAAAGCAAAGCCCCCTTCTCCTTCTCCCTCCATTTCAAATATTCGCATCCTTATCCCACAGGCAGGGATGCATTTGGAACCCAGTTCTCGTCCCCAGTTCAGACCAATCCTCTCTGGTCTCTGGGCAGCCATGAGGGACGTCCTTTCATCTGCTTCCCCAGGGACCTACAGGAAGGAATCTCAGAGCAGTCAATGGTACAGCATCATGCACAATCCCACAATCCCACAGCTTCAGATGAAAATCACAATCATCCCTGAAATTTTGCAGATTCACTAAGCAAGGAACAATTTAAAATGATGACAAGATATTTCTGCATGTTTACCATTAGCCTTTCAGGGCCTTTCCCAACCCACCCTCTCAAGGAAATGAAGGAGCAAAGACAAAGAAAACTGGATGCCCTTCTTTGATGGAAGCCCAGGTCCCACTGAGCTTTCTAAACAACATGGAACTCTCACCACAGGGAAATCATTCAGGCCTGGGTTTTCCACTGACTGGTTGGGGGACCTGCTCTCTGGCCTGGACTCAGAACACTGAGACAATAACTATTTTCCCTCCCTTAAAGGCACCAGGTCTGGACTAACACCCACATTCCATGCTTTGATGAGGGTGTGGGATGTCTTAAAAATTCTGACCTGTTGTTACTGGACTGCTCAAATTCATTCTATAAATCTTCCCATTGGCCCCTCTGATTCAATGTTAAATTTCAGGGCAGCTAGATGGTGCAGTGGATAGAGCATGGCCCTAAAATCAGGAGGACCTGAGTTCAAATCCGGCCTCAGACCAAATACTTGATACTATACTAGTACCAAGATACACACAATACTAGTTGTGTGACCCTGGGCAAGTCACTTAACCCCAATTGCCTAAAAATTTAAAAAAATGTTAAATCTATTCACCTTCTTTGAATCCATCATTGTCAGGTCTAAATCTTTCCTAAGTCCATGAAGATAAGTTAGAGAGTCTGTTGCAAGTTCCTCATTTCTGATGGTTCAGGTCCATAAAGGGAAATACACATTTAAAAATATGTAATAATTATGGACTTACTAGAAAAAATGAAAATTCAAAAGCTCTTGGGGGAATATGGAAACCAATTTGGATTTTAAAATAAAGGTTTGGAGGGAACCTAGCCAATGTCTGTTGTCTTTTTCTTTGAGAATTTCCACCCTTCCCCCATACAAACTGGTGCAGATAGCAGTGTTTGAACTGGAATCTGTCACTAAAATAGTTTTAAAGTTGGTAAGGTTTCTGAAGATTTTAATGGACATTTTTGTATTGGGGAGGAGTGCATGAGAAGAAATCAGGCATAAAGCACAAGGAAAACTGTTTGAGTGGATTGGTTGCTACTCTTCCCTTCTCTCCAAATATGGAGGTTATTATGAAGAAACGGTTTAGGTATGAAGAAATGAGAGCCAACTTTCCCATGGCTCCAAAAGCATTAGCCAGTGGACAGTAGGAATTCAGCAATTCCATCCAAACTGGCTGGCCGTATTTTAAACCATAACTTGCATGATATCAACAAAAGGAAACATGTGACTACAAGCCTGAGCTTTGAAAGAATGATTGAAATCCACACAAAAGTTGGAAATTACCAAAATTGAAGCCTCCATTTACCTTCAGTTTAATCTCTGGACTTGCTCAAACAATAACATCGTCAAGTCCAGAATTTCTAGCATCAGTCATTCTTCTACAAAAATTTTTATAGAACTTGATCTATTTTATTGGTACCTCACAGTCAAAGCTGGCCCCTGATGGATGGATGATATAGAGTAGCAGACTCTATGAGAGCTTAAATCCATCCCTAAAAGGAATTGTAGTGAAAATGAATGATCTGACTATAGCCTGGAAGTTTTTTTTTATACCACCTTGAAATTTCAACATAAACTGGCTTCTGCTGGTTCATTTTAAGTGTCTTTCAAGTGTTGAAATTTTTCTATTTCATTTAATTTGTTTTTTTTTCTAATGACTTTTTACTCTGTCCTTCACTTCTCATCTGGTGGGGGACAAAGAACCATGTGAAATGTCATAGCTGTACCTGCAAAAGATCTCTGTTCACCTTCTCATACAGTTTTGCTCCCTAGTATCTTTCTAGAGCTATGTTTTCATATAATTTCCTTCCTTCCTGTGGATTTTTTTTTAAACTTGGGACCACCAAGTCATAAAGAAAGTGTATGTTTTTACCTGACAGATGCACGCCTAGTAGCCTGCCCAATAATCTGAAAACATAACAATTGGGAGCCAATGTGCTTTAAAATTAATTCTGGATGGTTCCTTCTCTTCCTTTTTTGTTTCTTTTAAATTATTTTTCAACAAACAGAAATGGAATTAGTCCTTGACCACTTGTTGTATACTCTGTCTTTTGGGTAACTCGTCCAACCAGCAGCCTGTTACTGTCCATGACTAACTGTGTAAGGCTTATGATGGAATAAATTGGCTTTCTGCATTTAAAAAAAAAAAGAATGAGTTGGTCAGATCCATCCCCATGCTGGCCAGCTGAGATCTAGAAGAGGAAGCCAAACAGGCCTTTCCATCTATCCAGATGACCAGACTCCCCTACTCCTCCCTGAGTTCACTACTCTGCCGCACAGAGGTCCCACCTGGCTCTCCCCACTTCTAAAATACTCAGCTGCACAGCCATAGTAGAAGGGCCAGGCTAACACCAGACCAGAAGTCTGGGCTCCCTCTACACTTGTAAGTTATCTATGGGCAAGGGTGGAGCGGAAGCTGATACTTCCCTTAAGGCCATTGATGGCAGCAGGAGACTTCCTGTCCCTGCTTCCAATCTTCCAGCCCCCAAACAGCTGACCTACCTCCGTGACTACACAAGGCAGTCAAGAGAGAGAATGGCTTGTCTACAAATGAATCACATTTTAAAAAGTGGTCCACAGCCAGCAACTGATCCGGGAACAGAAGTCAGAGCATTATAGTCCTGAGATCTCCTGCCTCCCACTCCCAAACATACCTGCCCTCCCTCCTTGACCCACATGGTCCTCTGATTTTCTTCTGCTCTGTCCCTAGAACTCCCCACAGGACCCTTCACTGTGATTGGTCCTGCTCAAGTCATTCAAGCCAAGCAGGGAGAGGATATCATGTTCTCCTGTCACCTCTCCCCTAAGATGGATGCTAGGAAGATGACTGTGAAATGCTTCCGAGACCAGACTCTTGTGCACGAGTACTGTAATAAGGGCAAAGTGGAGGAAACACAGGACCCTGAGTTCCACGGGAGGACCAAAATGCTGAAATATGACATGGCAGAGGGAAAGGTGATCTTAAGTATCCATCAGGTCCAGGTCTCTGACGCTGGTCAGTACATTTGCCATTTCCGGGCACGTGACTATTCCAATGATGCCCACTTTGAACTACAGGTAGAAGGTAAGTCTTATCTGGTTTATGACTTCTTTCTGAAAGAACGTTGAGTCAAAACCCCCTCATTTTACAAATGAGGGAAATGGGGCACAGAGAAGAGAGACGCTTTGACCAAAATCATATACCTTAGAAATGGTCAGGCTGAAAATCAAACTCAGCTCTTCTTACTCCAAATTTGACCGTTTTCTTCTTCTCTACACACTGCTTGGATACAGCCTGTGTGAAATCGTGTGCTTGAGGAAGGGACCAGCTCACTTTGAAACATGAACCTTGGCTCGTGACTTCCATTCTCTTCCCTCCCTTTGATCCTTCTGGAGTTTCTCACTGAACAATTATGGAGGCCTTCCCAATATGCCGAGGTTCCCAAATTCAGATAATTATTTTCTCTAATTACAATATGCCACACCTCATCTGGGACCCCAAACCATACATTACCCAGTGTACTATATGTCTGAGGGCTTCTTGACTGTCATCTATGGAGCTTTCACCCACATTGGCCTATTAATAAATATTTACTAGATTGCTTCTGTGTGCCCAGCTCTATGCTAGCTGAGTCTGTGAAGGAAAGAAGGGAAAAAGGGAAGAAAATCTGGTCTCATCTCTTGAAGAGATTCTAGTCTAGCCATGGAGACATGATGATTAACACCCCCCAAAATAGTCTAGAGGAGAGTGAAAAGCAGTATTGCTCAGGGACTAGAGTCCTGGACTTGGAGTCAGGAAGACCCAGATCCAGATGCTTCCTTTGACTATTATTAGTTGTGTGACCACAGGCAAATGACTTAAGGTCTCTGTGCCAACTTAATTCCAAAAGAGAATTCATTCTAGCTGGATGCACACCCACAAGGTTGCAATGCCTAAGGTATTGATGTATACAGCTAGGTCCCACTTAGAGTGAACTGAATGTATTCCAATTCACATGGTTTGAAATTATATGAAATACGGTCATTGATTGTAACCCAATGGGAATATGCAGTGCGGAATCAAACAATGTGACCACTTTGAGGGACTCATTCTGCAAGCTAATCAGGACCCAGCTGTATAATGAAGTGGTAGATCATATAGGCCATAATTTAGTTCAATTCCAAAAACATTTATCAAGCTCCCACTGTGTGCAGACCCTGTTGCTCATTTAGAAAAGAACTAAGGGGCAGCTAGGTGGCGCAGTGGATAGAGCACTGGCTCTGAAGTCAGAAGGACCTGAGTTCAAATCTGGCCTCAGACTAAATACTTGACACTTACTAGCTGTGTAACCTGGGGCAAGCCACTTAACCCCAATTGCCTGAAAGAAAGAAAGAAAAAAAGAAAGAAAGAAAGAAAGAAAGAAAGAAAGAAAGAAAGAAAGAAAAGAACTAAGATAATAAGACCTAAGTATAATACACACTAGTTCAAGATAAAGGCATGAGAAGGGAGCAAAATGAAATAATATGTGGAGCCTGATGGGGGAGGTGTTAGTGCTACAGAAATCAGGGAAGGCTTCTTAGAGGTGGGGGCATTTGAATTGGACTTTAACAGCTTAGTAAGGACTCAATAGGAAGAGAAAGAGGGAGGAGGAAGTTCCTAGCACAGGGAACTGTGTCAGCAAAGGCATGGAAGCTAGAAGACCAGGTCATTTTCAGAGCACAATGTGTGGTCCAGTCTGACTGAAGCACAGAGCACATGGAAGAAGGTGGGATGAAGGAGGCTATGGGCAGATGGCACCCAAGTGAAGAGGTTAATCCTCTATAAGAGTCAAGGGAAATGGGGTGAGCTCCACAATAAAGATCCCCTGAAGATTTTGGAGGGCAGGAATAGTCTGAGCAGGGCTGCATGCTGGGCAGAGGAGCCTGGCAGCTGATGGAGGGTGCAGAGAGGGAGTGGAAGTGGGGAATCATGTATGGAAGCTAATGGAAGACTCCAGGCAGGGGGAAAGGAAGCCATGTGTCAGAGAGAATGAAGAGGAAGGGAAGGCAAGATGAGGAAGAATTAGCAGAGTCTTTGGTATTCAAGGTGAGGGACATAGGGCATCAAAGATTCCTCAAATGTAGTGGAATGGGTGTATCATGGTGCCTCTGATTTTAAAATGATGAATCAGAAAGAAGGACTGATTGAAGAAGGACTAATATAAGCTCAGTGTGTGACATGGGGAGTCTGGGATGCTGAAAAGGCATCTAGAAGAGGATTCTCTGAGGGTAGGTGGAGAGGAGGGCCTTGGCACAGAAGAGAAGTCAGGGCTAGAGATTTAGGTCTGAAAGTCGTGTGGTTTGAGTTGTTAGTTAGATACATTTGGAGAATAAAATTGCCAAGATTACAAGTATTGAGAGAAAAGAGGATGAAAGACAGTCTCAGCCAACATCTCCTTAACAGGGTGAGATGAGGACAAAGAGCCAACAGAGGAGATGGAGAAGGAGTCATCAGAGAAGTAAAAGGAACACCAGGAGAGGGTCTTGTCTCTGCAGTCAGTGGAAGACAGAACAATAAATGTCCCAGAAGGGGTTGGCCAATAACAATCAGAAAGGTTAAGGACAATGAGGACTCCAAGGACTCCAGGGCATCCATTTTTTGGAAGGCCACTGTTGTCTTTGGAGAGAACATTTCAGCAGAATGGTGTCAGGGAGAAAGTTAGATTGAAGGGCATGAAAGAGAAAGTGTGGTATGAGGCCCTGGAGACTTTTGGGATTGGACAAATTTCCCCCCAGTTCTAGCAGTGAAAGAATAGTTACTGGAGAA